TTAGTAATGTATATAAAGTAAGTTTCTGTTTTTTTTTTAGTAACTCTGATACTAGATTTTAGATTCAAACCATGCTTTAGAAAAATGATAGTTTGTGGGTCTGATAGATTGCTTCAATGTTCATATCCCATTACAAGGCATTCATAAGTTTGGTGTTGTCACTTCAAATCTTATAATTATCATATTAATGAGTGTAAAAAATTCAGCATTCTAACTAACCCTAAAATGTTATAATATATATATATATATATATATATATATATATATATATATATGCAAGTGTATATTGCCTAGTCTACTAGTTTCTTAGACGATCCTTAAATGAATTATCTAGTAAATAGAAACTTTGAAACATAATATTTTACTAAGTTATAAGTAAATAAAAATTCATAAATTTTTAAGCTATTCATATTTTTTAATTTTTTATTTCTTTATGTGATATAAATTTTTATGTTGAGATATCTATTATGATGAAGTTCTCTCTAAAAAAACTAAAATCTTTATGCAGATTAATCAATTTATTTTATGATAACTTGATAGAAAATTATGTCCATTGGTTATGGTACAAAAAAACTATGTGTGAATTAATAATTGATATTTATAAAATTAACTATTAACTTGTTGGCATCTTTTTTAGTAATTTCGGTTATACTAATGCATGGTACAAAATCTTACTACATGACTGCAAATATTAAGTTTATAATAATGTTATACCCATAGTAAAGAGTGATATGGTGACATTAAAAAAGTATGTCATAAATGATAATGTATATAAAAGAAGTTTTCTTTTCTTTGTGTATAAGAATTGACAAAAAAAAAAAGAGTAGGCACATTTAGAAAATTATATTCATGTATAAGAACAACATCCTCCCACTCATAGAAAAATAAAGAAAAAAGAAAAAAAATATTGTCAAGATTGGTCATTCAATAAACTCATAACCTCAAATGTAATATAATCACAATTACAAAATGACAAATCCTAATAAAGATCAACCCAAGTCCTAACCCTAACAAAGGATGAGGAATAAAGGATTTTAGAGGAAAGGAAACAAAAATACAATTACACAATTAGTCACAAGCATAGAGAGCATTAGTTACAATGTACGCAGTTGCACAAGTCAAAGAGAAGATGACGACTAGCATAAGAGAAGGTGTTTAGAATTGAAGCAAAAGGAAAAATAATTCTAATTAGAGTTCCTTTCCTTTTCTACAATGGTAACATAAGTCGAGTTAGGGTATTTGGATTGGGCCATAAACATATTTTGTCATAAACTAGACAGTTCTAGTAAAAATAAAAAGATATAGTGTTGTTATTTGGTTGATTAAGAAAAATATCAACCATAACTGTTTGACCTAACTCATATATAATTGAAAGCCAAAATCGAATTAACTTGCATCTATGTTGCCACACTTGACACCTAATTTTGAATCTTCAATTTCATCGATTTCAATTAGATAGTTAAATCATGAGCAATTCTATTAGTTGAAATGTGTATTTTTAATATTTTTTTTGGTTTATTTAAACTTGTAACTTTAAGTTTTTTTGTAAAGCCTTTACTTCAAATTTTTATTTTCTTTTTATTGCTTGAATTGTATCTTTTTTTCTTAAATATTCTTTTAATGCCATAGGTCTAATTTTTTTTTATCTTTTTTTATTTGAAATTTTTATTTTTGTGCATTTGAATCTAAATTTTGATAAATTTTGTATATTAATTAATAGTGCATACTGTAACGCCCTGAATTTTGATAATATTAATTATTATTATTATTATTATTATTATTATTCTTATATATATATATATATATATATATATATATATTCATATGTGTGTTGATTTATTTGAAAATGATGTTTTATGTGTATTAAGTACATGGATGTGTGTATATATGTGTATGTATGACTGGATAGGCTGAAAATGAGCGAAGTGCCTAAATGCAGGGCGAGATACTGGGCTGTTCTCCTCTCGCTGCAGCGAGAGGACCCTGGGAATTGTTGCCTTCTCGCTGTAGCGACAGAACGACAGTTTGAGGTGCATTTCAGGGTACAACGAGCCTCGCTGTAGCGAGATTCTGTAGAAACCAGAGTGCAGTTTTCTCTGACTTTTTCGCTGTAGCGAAAGGGCGTGTTGCTGCAGCGAGGTCTCACTGTAGCGAGAGTGTCGCGACCAGAAAAGGATTTAAAGGGGATTAGGGTTCGGGGAGAGTTATTTCTCCCTCTCCCTTCGATCCTCTCATGCCCAAAGCCCTTTTCACCGATTAAATTGCCTCCAAAGCTGTCCAGGAGCTTGATTGAAGGTTGAATCCATGTGGAGAACGCTTTGAGGTGAGTTTTAATGGTTAGGGTTTCAGTTTTACATCCCCTTTCTCTATTTCCGTGGTTTCCCTGGGTTCTCATGGAGTTTCTCCATGTGTTTATGATGAAATCTGTGAGGAGAAGTACTTCTTGGTAGATTTAGTGTGTGGGATGTCAATCTGAGGTAAGGGGAGACTCTATCCTACTCTTTTGTGCATGAATTGTTGATATCCTGCTAAATATTGTATTGTGGCTGAGTTAGTGGGTAGAAAATTGCTGAGAAATGTAATGTGGGCCATGTGTTGTGATATGTGAATATGATGTGTGTTGATCCGAAATTAATGGATGTGGATTGTATGTAAATGTTGTGTGATAGAATGAGTATGGACACTTGTGCCGTATATTTGAATGAATATTATGAAAATGTGGGCTCAAGGGCTATGTAATATAAACGATATTTGTGAGTTGTGTGCCGTGTGTAAGCGTGATTACTGCATGCGTGAATGGAATATGTGTGAATGGGCATGTTAGCGCCATTGTAATATGTTGTGAATGGTTCAATGATACACTGGGGATGTGGGAGATGAGGACGGTAGAAATACTTTAGAGAAGAGGGAGTGGTGGTGACACCGACTGCGGAACGGGTGCACCACGGGTCACACACTCTCTTCCTGACTAGACCTCTGACCACTATCTTTGCTGAGCGACCCGTGACTGCCCACGTGATATCCGTGAGGCAGGGGTAACCGACGACCATTCATGGTGTAAATCTGTACCTATGGATATAGAATGTTGCCTGTGATTGTGTTTGTTTAACGTATTGGAAATGTGCTGGAGGTAAGACTTTACGTTGATTGTGTGTTTTTAGGTAGTGTAGAGTACTCACCCTTACATTCATTTTTCAGGTAATCAAGACGATCAGCACCGGACTCAGTGAAAGGGTGGATGGAACTGCTATAGGACTTAGGATATTATTTTGGAAAACTGTTGTATTTAAATAAGTCTTATAGCAACTGTTTGATATAAATTGTAACCCCTTCCTTTATTTGAAATGATTAATGAAACTTGAATTAAAAATGAAAATTTTATTATCTCAAAAATTTGCGAAATTTCTTATTTGTTAAAAATTAAAATTTAAGGTGTTACACATACAAAAATTATTCAGACACACATAACTTAAAATAAAAGAGGTAAATAATGATCTTAATAAAAATTTACTAACTACAATAATAACAATAAAAAAAAATTGATATAACAATTAACTGACTAATTAGTTAATATTATCTTATATTATCTTTATAATTTTATTTATATAAAAAATTAATTTAGTTTTTTAGATAAAATTATTTTTAAAAAATATTAAAATTAACTAATTTGAGTTGAGTATTAGGTTTTTCATCCTCTAACTAATTTGACAATTCTTTAAAAATTTTTAATCATTATACACAAACAATAAATAATGATTATGCATTTTTTAGCTTAATTATATATACTAATTCAATCAATTCTTAATCTGCTGGTTGAGTGTAAGTTAGAAGCTAAAAAAATAACTAAATTTAACTCAATAGGTTATTTTGATCAATTTAAAATTTTTTTCCTTACAATCAAAATTTAAACGATCCTATGTACAAGTAACATTATTCTTAATGTAAGTGCATGTTTAACATTAATTTTTAATTTTATTTAATTATTTACCACACTTAATGTTAGTAACTGAGAACTAGAAACAAATAGTTTTAATTTTTTTTAAAAAAAACTCTCAATAAATTAAAAATTTGACTTAAAATAAGATAAATTCAAATATGCATATACTTCACTTAATTTAAAAATTCATAGGTGTATTTTTTTCATTATACAAAAAAATTTATTTGATAAAGTTTCAAAGTAAAAGTATATAACAAAGGCATACTTAATTTTAAGGATAGAATAAAAGATAAACATTGTTATTTATATTCCATAAGATTTTAGCGTTGTTTTTTTTTTTTTTTAGTTTAGATCATAGACATTCTCTCTTAAAGGCAATACTTTAACTCGAAATAAATTATAGGTTAAGTTAAAATAATTCATTCTAGTTGATTCAATGTTTGTAGGTTAGTGTTATTCATCTTGAAAAATAAAAAATGTTAAAAAGTTTACTTATTATTAGAGAATTTGTAAATTTATGATAAAAGACACACTAAAAATAATAAACAATGATAAATAATTAGACGAAATACTGCAGCGATCAGTAAAACAATTGAATCGTAAAAGGATTAATTAATTATGTCAATTTAAATGAAAAAAAAATGCAATAATATATCTTAAGAAGTTTAATTTTACTTTTTTAAATGTAAATCTTATCAACAGTTATACTCTCTAGTTGTTTTAAACTGATATAATCATTGGGCCTATATCTATTGGCTAAGAGCAACAAGCCCATCTCTGAGGCCCGATACATTGCTTTGAAACGTGAGTTTGAAAAAAATATATGGGTATTATTAATATATATAGAGTAAAGACTCAAAAGTGATTCAATGTATAAAAATATTATTTTAATTATTGCTTTATAAAATAATATTAATTTTAGTTTTTTTAGAAAATAATACTAAAAATAAAATAAAATAAATAGATTAAAATAATTTTTATAAAATTAATGATTAAAATGGTTTTCATTTACAAATTTCAGAGTTTATAAATATTTTTCATAATTTATTCCGCATTTGAAGGCCTTTGGCACGCTACCAACTCTTGTCGTGTCTCTTGGCAACTGCATCCTGTTTCGTTGTCTACAATGAAGGCTACTTTGAAGGGCAAATACGACGTCGATAAAAACGGCGCTGCGGCAGCCACTTTCGCCGTCAACGCCGGCGACATCAAACTCAAAGCTTCCGTTACAGAAGCCACCTTCATTAACGGTCCCAGCCTAACCGGCTTGGCTTTAGCCGTGGAGAAACCCGGCTCCTTCATTGTCGATTACAATGTTCCCAAAAAGGTACGCTCCCAAATTCCCTAAACTGGTGAGTTGTAGTTAGTTTGGTACTAAAACCGTTTTAGGGTTTGTTGCGTGTAGGACTTTCGGTTTCAGTTTATGAACACCGTTAGGGTTGCGGAGAAACCGTTGAATTTGACATACTCACACAGCAGGGGCGACAACAGGACCGTTTTGGACGGAACGTTTGTGTTGGATCCTGCGAACAAGGTTTCTGCTAATTACGCATTTGACTCGGGAAATTGCAAGTTGAAGTACACTTATGTTCATAAGGGGTTGACCACGTTTGAACCCTCCTATGATGTTGCTAAGAATTGTTGGGACTTTGCTGTTTCGAGGAGGGTTTATGATGATGATTCCTTGAAGGCCGTGTACCAGACATCGAACAAGGTTTTGGCACTTGAGTGGTCACGGAATTCCAAACACACTGGTTGCTTCAAGGTGAATATTTGTGGCAGATTGATTAACTTGTATTTTTTATTTATTTTTGGATGATTTTTGTGTTTCACCTGTGTGGTAGAGTTTATTTATAGATGTATGCTTTTGTGTGTTTCTTGAATTGATGAATTGTGCATGTTGGCTTGTCGTTTAAATTTAGTCTCGTTCCTGCATGAGTTGAATGAAATTTTGGACATTTGAGGGACGAATCTTTGATTATTTTTAAGTAATAATAGCAATATATATTGAATTATCTTATTTTAGGATTTGATTTTTGAATTTAGGATTATCTTTAATTTTGTTATTTTTATATTTGTTATTTATTTTTAGGATTTTATCTAACATATAATTAGGCTCTCAAACTAAATGATTATTAATTTTTATTATTATTATTTTGTATGAGTTGGGGGGTACCTGCCCTAGAGGAGTAGGGGAGTATCCTCCCAAAGGGAGTAGCTTTGGGGTTATGATTCTGCATCATCTAGTATGCTTAGAAATTCTGTTGCTTTATCGAAGATTGCTAGAAGGTTCATGATTGATTGATTATGAGTTGACTGATAATTCAACTTATGAGTAGAGACTTTTTGAGGGAGGATGTAGGATGTAGTCATTCATCTTTGGAAGGTAATTCTATATGAAAATACAAAGGCAGTAGTTTTTGTGAAGTTGGTTATGTGGCAGGAGGCACAAATTACTGCATGAAGATGGGGGAAAGAATTGGAAACAAGATTTCTCCTTTCTTGGGTGATAAGAATCAAAGTCAAGGCTCTATCAAAATATTTATGTAGCTCACGTGATTCATTTTTATTGCTGAATGGAAAAGGATTTGTTGAAGGGTTGAAATAGGTAGTGATATCTATATTCATTCTCATTTGACCTTACAACAAAGTTGCCTATACATCATTTAGTCTTTGATCAAAGAAGCGTGGATACTCTTGAATGGTAGTTTTGTGAAGTGGTAGTTGTGTTGGATATATATTGATATTACATGGATAGCTCAAGTATTTTTAGTTTCATTTTATAATTCTTATTTTTGAAATTTTTATAGCAATACAAATTAATATATCATAATAAGTAAAAAGAAAATAAAATTTAACTTCATTCGGCCTTGATCAAAGAAGCATGGATATTCTTGAATGGTAGTTGGGTCAAGTGGTAGTAAGTGTGTTGGATATATATTGATATTACATGGATAGTTCAAGTATGCATTTTTATAATTCTTATTTTTGAAACTTTTATACTGACAAATTGATATATCATAATAATTAAAAAATAAATAAATTTTATTATGTCCATAACAACTTATTTCATTTTTACAACATGAATACTCTCTTGTGATTACAAATTTGATATTATTATAAATTTATTTTGTATGTTGTATTATAATTGGGTCATGTCTTATGAATTTTAAAATATGTTGTATTCCTATCCATGTCTGTGCTCTGTAAGTCTTATTTTTTTCTCACATCTTCATTGCTTGCATTTATTACCCATATTTATTTACATGTTTGGGGTGTAGTGGTGTACTTTGTTACTCGTCATTTTTGTGGTCTCTCTCTCTCTCTCTCTCTCTCTTTCTGACATATATTTGACAGACTTGGATGTTTCTTAGAAGAATAAAAAATGCCTTTTCTGTTCTATTAGAAACTTGATCAATGGAGGTTTCACTTTGCTAAAACTTTTCCTGTATGAAATTTGGTTAATCGGTTGACTTCCCTCCTCCCATGTACTACATTGTTCTTGAGTAGCATGTATTTGTTCCTCAGACAGAATGTCTAACTTTGAGCTTTTTCTTCCAGATTGTGGCATCTGTTAACTTGGCTGAGGAAACGAAAGTTCCCAAACTTATTGCTGAGACCGCATGGAATCTTGAGATGTAGTTGGCCTCCAATATATTGTCTCAATCTCAATTGCTTGATAGGTTTACTGTCAAGTTTTGATGGTTTTATCCGTCACCATTGGGCATATTTTGCCTTTGAATTCTTTATCTTTGAAAGTGATTTGATCATGTTATTGTTATGAGCATCTCTGTGGCCTTATTTGTCCACCTACAACTTCCCATTTTTGAATTATTCCAATTCCAATATTTACCTCACTTTGCAGAAATCTGTAATTTGCCTGCCTATAATACGGGCTCGTTTATTCTCATAAGGTTATTCAATACACCTTTTCTTTTGTACCTTTCCTTTTTCTATACCTGCGAGAATGGTTCGAAGGATAATCTTGCTCTGTTTGGAGCTTATGATTATGATTTCATTGCAAGTTTGAATTCGTTTATTTTGCATATTCAAACTATATGTTAGCATTTTGAAAAAAAAGAAAAGAAAAGAAAAGCTTTTGTAGTATCAAAATAAAATAACCTCTTGAGCTATAGTTTGTGTGATTTATGCGCACCTAAAATTGTGTTTTTCTAGAGTTTTTGCCATTTTTAATGTAAAAAACCATGGTATAAATCAAGTTTTTTCAAAGGAAAAATGAGTTGAGGTTGGTTGACTCACATGTCAAACACGTGTGGCAAAAGCATAATTTTGAAGGTAGTCATGACCATGGATCTGGATTTTTTCCTATTGTGGTAGGAATTGGATCTTTCGCGTAAGCAAAAATAGATTTGTTTTAGCGAGAATGGACTCGCTCCAATGATAATGGAGAGAATAGCAAATTTTTTTTATGTAAAATTAGTTTAAGTAAATTTTGCATATTTATTTAAGCAAATTTTGTACATTTGAAAAGATGAGAATTGAGTGTAGGAGAAGAAGGGAGTAAGGATGAGTGGAGAAACTGAAGATGAAGAGAGCGAGTGATACAGGAGTGATGGTGGAATGAGAGGAGGGTGGAAGAGTTAAGTATAGAGAAAAGAGGGAGAGGTGAGTATACAGGTGGGATGAAGTGAGGGTGAGAAGAGGAAAAGAAGAGTTGGATACGAGGTAGAGGGAAGAGAGAAGTTGGATATAAGAGGAGGAAGAAGGTTAAATATGAAAGTTAGAGAAAGAGTGTTAAGTATAGGTGAGAATGAGAGGAGAAGACTTGAGCAAAATTTGTTTAAGCTAATAAAATTCGCTTAAGTTAATTTCATGTAAAACAATTTCGTCATTTTTTTCCTTTTTGTTTAAGTCAGTCTATTTTTGTTTAAGTAAAAAATGGAACTTAATGTCCAATTTTTGCCACAATAGGAGATAATGTGGATTCCTTGATCATCTCTTCCCTTCTTTTTGTCTGAATGTTTATATCTTAATTTCATTGTCACAAGATGCCATTAAACATCATTGAACTAGTGCCTTTTTTTCAAAAGCTGCTATATAATCTAGTAGTGTGCTAGGATTTAATAATTTTTTTTTGCATATAACTAAGGGGAAAAGAACCAATATTTGCACTTAGTAACTCAACGTCTAATTTCTACCACAACATGAGATTATTTGGATTCCTTGATCATCTCTTCTCCTCTTTTTGTGCAAATATTTATATCTTAATTTCATTGTCACAAGATATCATTAAATATCATTGAACCAATGTTTTTTTTTACAAAAGTTGCTATATAATCTAGTAATGTAATGGGATTCAATAAAAAAAATTGTATATAACAAAGGGTAAAAAATCAATGTTTACAATCAGTAACTCAACGTCTAATTTCTGCTACGACAGGAGATAATTTGGATTTCTTGATCATCTCTTTCCTTCTTTTTATGCGAATGTTTATATCTTAATTTTATTGTCACAAGATGCTATTAAACATCATTAAACTAATGCTTTTTTTTTCCTTCCAAAAGCTGCTATGTAATCTAGTAGTGTGCTAGATTTAATAAATTTTTTTTGTATATAATCAAATAAAAAGAACCAATATTTATTCAGTAACTCAACGTCCAATTTCCGCCACAACAGGAGATAATTTAGAAAATAACTTTATTTTTATTATTTAATATTTACAGATTGAGAAAAAAAAAATTTAGACAATATATATATATATATATATATATATGAAAATAAAAGAAGATGCCTTGTGAGAACACAAAATTTATCAAAAGAAAAGAAAAAATTAATGTATGATTTATAAATTTATAATGTACTGTTAAAATTTTTTTAAATTATACAGTAATTTATATTTGATATTTTGTTTTAGGTTGTAACTCGATAAAAATGAATCAATGCTGAATAAAAGATAACAATGAAAAATTTAGAAGATTGAACAATTTTATTGTATTATTGTATAAATACTTTTAAAATTTTATAGAATTTGAAAAGTAGAATATCATTTGACATTTTCGTCTTTTGTAAAATAATTTTGTTATCTTTTTATATATGTCTTTCTTACTTTATTATATATATATATTTGTATATAAAAAATATTTATCTTATTTTTAATGTAATTATATTTGATATTATTTTATATAATAAAATTTTATATTATATATTTTTATATTTAAATTATAATTTTTTGTTTATTTTAAAATAAAATAATTTAATAAAAATATAAATAAATTTGTATAACACATAAATATATTTACTAATTTATAGTTAAATTATTATTATTATTAAAATTTATAATATTTAAAGTCGCATATAAATTAATTTTAATTGTTATATTTATTTATATATAAATAATTTATTTTAAAAAATAATCAAAATTTTTATTTAATATTTTTTATTTTTTATCATATTAAAAATAATTATTTTTATATTTAAATTATAAATATTTTAAAAATAAATTAAATAATAAAAATATGAATATATTTATATAAATTTATGCAACGGCACAGATATATTTTCTAATTAAAGAGTAAAAAAAATATTAATGATGGATTCGTATAATATGACATACATTTGATTATGTAGCACTAATAATTTTATATGCATGTATGTAAAATAAATTTCAACTTTCAAATTGAATTTTAATTTTATAAAACTTATTCTGCTAGAAAATATTTTCTAATAAACATAAGAAATTATTCTGCACATAATTTTTTGCTATATGATTTATATAGCACTAATTGATGTGCAACACTCATGTGCTTTTGGAGATTATACAAAAATTATAATCAATGGTTCGATCCGTCAATAAATAAAATCAACAATTCAAAAAATATACCCATCAGAGACAAATTAGAAAATATGGCAAAATATTTTTAATATTTGTATAAAAATAATTTAATTATATATATATTAATTTTAAATTATTATTTCAGCAAAAATTATTAATTTTTAAAATATTTAATTTAAATTTATGTTACGGTACAATTTAATTAATTATTCTAATAATATAAAAAATATTTAATTTAAAATTTATATTACGGTACAATTTAATTAATTATTCTAATAATATAATTTTTTTAAAACAAATAATACAACAAAATTAAACTCATTAAGAAAAAGTAAAAATCACGACTAAAGATATTTATGTTAAAAAGTTATAAATTCTTCCTTAAAAAAAGTGGGAACAGAAAATTTTTCTAGGAACATGAATGTAGGACCTCAAGTGGTCAATGTCCAAAGGATTATCTGATGTAGATATAGCCCAAGCAAACCGATCGGAGCAGATCATATATACTTTGTTACAGTACAATTGAACTGAGGTTACCTGGTTTTGTGTCTGCTTCTGTTAATCCCCATGTTTGCCCTAATTCAGCGCAAGTCAATACACTGTCCTAACTCCCTCCTCAGATTCCCCAAATCTTACATAGATTTCTGCTAAATTCTCTATTTGCAGATCCATCAACTTCCGACACACTGAGAGCAACACCCTCCAATTTTCTTCTTCAAATTCAATGGCGTCCTCGCAAAAAGGCAAGTTTTTTATGTTCTCTTTGCTCTTCTTTTTCTCTTCTCTTCATGTTTTTAGTGCCTCCATAGACCCTAAATCATGTTCTATACAATCCAAGCTGGACCATGATTCATGTCAAGAACCTGTTCCTGAACCCGAAGCATCAAATCATTTGAATCAGCAAGTTTTGTTGAATAAACTGGAGGAGTTAGTGAGAAATCTTAGTGAAATCGTTGCAAGATTAGAATCAAAGCTACCAGACCCACCAAAGGAAAAGGGTGGGTTTAGTCCAAAAAAGGTTGATGATAAAAGATCAAGTAGGAAAGGGGTTGAAGATGAGGAATTTGAGCGGGAAATCCGAGATGGGGAGAGAGCTAGAGGAATGTCTGTAACAAAGTACACACCTTTTTGGTCAGAGAGGTTCCAATTTGCATCTGCTGTGAAGTTAGATTCTGATGCCACTTGTTTAAATGTTTTGCCTTTTAGGGATCATGAAGGGTTGAGTAAGTATGTGGCAGTTAGTGATGAGAGGGGGAGAGTGTATGTGTTTTTGAGGAATGGAGATGTCTTGGTTGAGTTTGATACATCATTAGAGTCCCCCATTACAGCAATGGCTTCTTATACTTCTGTTTACAAGAATGAGAGTTTTGTGGTAACTGGTCATGAAAATGGTGAAATCTTGATAAATCGAATTTGGGAGGGAGGGTCCAGTGGAGATGATTATAGTTCTCTTTTCATGGAAAACGTTGATAAGTTTGTGTCGCCTGAAAACCTTGAAGATGGGTTGCCAGTTACTCTCTTGGAAGTTCATTATGTAAGGAGGATGAAGTACATTCTGTCTGCTGATACTAGTGGGAAGATCAAGGTTTTTAAGGAAAACGGTTTATTGTATGGTTCTGCCAAGCCTTCTAGTAAGCCCCTAGTTTTCTTGAAGCAACGGCTTATGTTTTTGACTGAAACTGGTGCAGGCTCATTGGATTTAAGGGGCATGAAAATCAGAGAAACTGAATGTGAAGGGTTAAACCATTCTGTTGCTCGAACTTATGTTTTTGATGCCACGGAGCGTTCCAAAGCGTACGGTTTTACCTCGGATGGAGATCTGATTTATGTCTTGTTGCTTGGGGATGTAATGAACTTCAAATGCAGGGTTAGATACAAGAGAAAGTTTGATATGGATGAGCCCCTTGCTTTGCAGGCCATCAAGGGGTATTTGCTGATTGTTAACCCGGAAAAGGTTTTTGTGTATAATGTTTCGTCACCGCATTATGTGAGAGTTGGCGTGCCTCGGCTTGTTTTCTCCTCGAGTCTTGAAGAGCTTAGATCATCATTTGTGAATCATCAAAACCCAAGTTTGGATGCAGAAACACGAGTAATACCCTTGATAGCTAGTGACCGCGAAAAGCTTGTTATTGTTGGGCTTGGAGGTGGGTATGTTGGAATGTATCATTCTAATCTACCTATCTTCAAAGGGGAATTCAATACCATGCTCTGGACTAGCCCTGTATTGTTCTTCATACTTTTCCTATTTGGGGCTTGGCACTTTTTTGCCAAGAAGAAGGAAGCACTTACATCTTGGGGACCAGATGATCCTTTTAGCTCCACATCAGCTACCAGCAGTGCACCGTTGGGATCTGGCTCTGGAGACAGAGACAGATCCTTTGTAGACTCTTCTTCAAGAAATTCTGAAGTTATGGATCTTAGAGGTGGAGCTCTTAGACCTCCACCAAGAAGGTATGGTTCTCCTTCACGATATCCTGGTGGGGCTGCGAATTCCTATAGACTTGGTGGTTCTTCGGATCACAATGCTCGGCCAGCTTCCATTGATCCAGATTTTCGCGCAACCTCAGAGCTAAAATATAGGGCCACCACCATGGACCCCCCTGGTTTCCCTAAAAGAAGATCAGATGGTCTATTTGTAGGAAATCAAGCTGTAAATGATCGCAGTTGAGTGGCAGAGTTAATTGCATGAGCTTTTCTCTAACTAGTTTCAAATTTCCCTAGCTTTTAATCTTATGATGATGATAATCATTTGGCATCTCTTTGCTATTTGGTCTCACAGTACTTTAGCTTTCAAGTTGTTGCATACAAGAGGGAAATAAATTATAATGAGAAACTTCCAGGTTTTTTTTTATCCCATATATTTTATTGTCCACGTGATTGATAAGAAGTTCATACATGAGAAATATATAGTCCCAAGGAGTGGTTTAAGATAGGATTTTATAACATCAACTTGTTCTTGAGTTTATTCAACTTTGTGTTGGTACGAATGGTGGAAGTGACTTGTATTTTTCATGCATGCATTCTTAGATTCGATCGATGATTCATTTTCATGAAAAACTAATACTTTGTAGAGATCCCTACTTTTTAGTGCATGATCATATTTGGGAAGTAAAAAATTGTAGGAAAGAAGTGTTCACAGTTATACTCGTTTAAGCAACTATACTTAAAAAATGCGATGCCCAGCTGTGTGGTTTGTCAACTTCTAATACAGAAATTATGTTCCTTGATGACAGAAATTTTATATATATATATGTATGTATGTGCCGTGGTTTTTTATTCTTTATTGTCACGTATGAAAATGAAAACATAATTGTGAAAGAAACTTATACAACTTTGTGAACCAGTGGAAATAGCATGTGTCCTTGTGAACTGCAAAATCTGAAATTCTAAATTGGCTTATAAGCCTATGCCGATCAATGGTGATGCGCATATTTCACTACAAACATTAAGTCATTTCCTAAGAGAAATTTACCTGCTGCCAATCCCATTATTTTTAGTGTTACACCATGTTTTAACCAAGCACTGAAATTGTCTCAAATTGTGACCTTGTTTAGGAAAAAATAATTCTTGGGTCCAATCCAAGAATTAAAAGACAGTGAATCTAAGTCTAAAAGATTGAGTTGACAAAAACAATCTCAAAGATAAGTATTATAGACAATTTAGACTCACTGTCACTTTTCTTATTTATTGTGAGAGTTTGTATTATCTTAAGGCATTTCAGAGTCAATTTTTTTCTTATATATCTTTTGATTTGTGTTAATTTATCAATGTAAATTTTATTGTCTTAAGTTTTATTATTTGAACTAGTGCTCTTCTGTTTTTAAAAAAAATATGTTATAGGTCTAATTTTTGTTTATTTTGACTTTTTTTTAATGTTTAGCCTTACATGTTTTTAGACTTAAGATTTGAAAATATATTACGATTTTGAATGCAGATTCAGAGATGATTGGGTCTAAACTTAAGTAGTTTGTTTGTTAATTTTTTTAATTTAAAAATTAAATTGAATTATTAGCTCTTGAACTTTAACTTATGTGTCATTTTTTTATTTTAATTATTTATGTTTAATTTTTTTTACTATTCAAATTAAAAATTTTATTTTAAAATTTCATCTATTAATGAACATAAGCATAACAAAAATGTGATATATAATTAATTTGTAGATATGTGTAAGGAAAAAAATTTTAGAATATAATTTAATAAAAAACTTGAATAATATTTTATATATTTTTCTTTATTATAAATTAATAATATATGTCACACTTTTTTTTATATTTTTTTTAATTATTACATAGGTTTTAAAGTAAAAAATAATTTAAACAATTAAATACAAGTAATTAAAAATAAAAAGATCAAAAGTATATATAAATTGAAATATAAATATCAAAACTATAATTAAACTAAAATAAAATTAGATACCTAATATAAAAGAGTTTGTGTAACTTAATAAAAAAAATTAAACCTAAAAAACTATTTCATTTAAAATTAAATTCAAATTTATAATATAAAAATAATATCTACATCACATTTTTTTAACTATGTGAAATATTTACAAATTTGAATTAGAAATTTCATTGGAAAGTAAAATGAGTTATTATCGTAACATCGTAAAACTAAAACAAATCATAAATTAGATGATGATTTTTACTTGAAGATGGGATTGCTATGGGAATTGCCCCATTGGGGACAGGTCAGCAGTCTGAGAATGTGAAGAAGGGAGGCACTCCTCTATGCCATTGTCATTCTCATGTCTTCTGTACTGAATAGGGATGAAAATAGATCAGGTCAGATTAGACTTTATTTTAAACAAGCTTGACCTATAACATAATTATTAGACTTGAGCCTGTAACATAATTATTCGGCCTGAGTCTAACCTGTTATCTATTAAATATTTTATTTTCAGCCTAATCTGACATATTTAAGTGGTCTGTTCTGACTTAAAGCCTATTACAAAAAATTATTTTAATATTAATAAAAATATAAATATTTTATTATCAAATTAGTTTACATATTTTTTTAATTTCTATCTATGTTATTAATAATTATTAAATAATTATAATAATATTTATGTAATTTTATAAATAATTTTTAAAATATTATTTAAGCATTAATTATAAATATTTTATATTAATAAAATTTTTATTTATATTTTTCTTGATTTATTTTTTAAAAATTATTTAAATATTAAAGATTTTAGTTTTATTTTATAAATATATTCTGTTTGTTTAAAAACATCTTATATTTAACAAATAAAGTTATAGTGAACACATAAAATTGATCACAAAAAATAATATTCACACAATTTGTTGAATCAATTAAAAGAAAATTATTATGTTTTAAAAAATAAATAAATTTAAACTTAATGTAATATATATATATATATATATATATAATGACAATAATAATAATAATTAAATTGAAAAATAATTACAAAATAATTAATTTTATTTGTTTGATTAATTTATTATTTTAAATTAATAAATAAATATAAAATTACCTACACTATAACATTAATGTAATATAAAAAATATTACTGATATAATAAATTAAAATACATACTTATATATTACATATAAATTAATAAATTAACTAATAATTTAATTAAAACACATGCAAGTTACAAAAATATATTATTATATAATTTATTTATAATTATATTATTTATTACATGGTTTGATTATATATATATATATATATATATATATATATATTATAAGTTTTTTATTTTATTTTTTATCATTTTTCTATAAATTTTTACTTTCAAATAAAATATAATTCATATTTAAGTAATTTCTATTTATTATAAATAAAAAGAATTATAACATAATTTATTAATATAATAATTGAATATTAATAATAATAAAATTAAAATATAAAAAATATATTAATAGAATATTAATATTTACTTTTAAATTTTAATTTGTTTAATTTTAACTGTGTCTTATTTCTAGTCAAAAACTCAGCTTATTTAAATGTAATAAATACAATAATTTATAATTAAATAAATTTATTTTTTAAACATGTGTAATCACGTATAAATATTTTTAGTTTGAAATATAATATAAAATAATTATTTAAAATTTGATATATTTATATTTAGTTATGTAACTGTATGCTATGGACCTGGTATCTAAATTTTTTTTATAGGTATTTTAGTCAAAAAATTTATACTAATAAAGATAAAATACATAGTAAGTTATAAAAAGTATATATTATCATACATAATTTATTTAAAATGATATTATTTACTATATGGTCATATTATATATATATATATATATATATATATATATATATATATTGTATATTAAATTTTTATTTTATTTTTTTATCATTTTTTTATATAAAATTTTAGTTTTAAATAAAATATAATTCATATTTAAATAATTTTTATTTATTATAGAAAAATAATTAAATATAATATATTAATATAATAATTAAATAATTAAATTAATAATAATAAAGTTAAGAGTATAAAAAATATATTAATATAATTTATTATTTTATTTTTAAATTTTATTTCGTTTAATTTTGATTGCATCTTATTATTGTTCAAATACTTAACTATTCTTTAACTTGTTTAAATATAACAAATATAATAATTTATTATTTAAAAAGTGTAATCGTGTAAAATATTTTTAATTTTTAATAGAATATAATTTTTATTTATTATAATTATAAATAAAAAATTATAATATAATATATTAATTTAATAATAACAGAATTAAGAATATAAAAAATATATTATTAAATAACTTTATTATTTAATTATATTTTCACAGTTTTATTTTTAAATATATATATATATATATATATAAACAAACTCCTGAAATCACCCTCAAACATAATCTCTTTGACGAAGAAGTTCGCTTCAAAGAGATAAATCAAAGTATGGATGACTGAATTATCCCAGAAATATATATTTCTGTCAGGCTTAACAAACTTTATAAACAGTTTAAGCCCAACTTGTTTACTTAAAAAAGCTTTAAAAAAATTTTAATTTTTTTTTATTTATTAAAAAGGTCAGGTTAGGCCGTAAGCCTCTGTCAAGCGGCCTGACCTATTCCTTCCATACTTGTGAAGCTGTTATAAGCCTTAAAAGCTTTTTCATTATTATTATTTTATCTACCTCTGCAATGTATATATATATATATATATATATATATATATAAATAAATTTTTTTAAAATATTTTAACTTTTCTATAATTGTTAATATTATATATTTATTTTAAAATAATATTTTTTTGTATAATACTAAAATATATTTTAATTAAATGTCAATAATCGCGCGCACACATATATATATATATATATATATATATATATATTAAATGACACATCTATATTAATAATTATAATTTTAAGTTTAAGAAATATGATTCTTAAAAATAAAATAATTTTTTTAAAAAAATAATATTACATACTTAAGTACAATAAAAAGTTAACTTATTTAAAAAAATTGTGAAAAAGTATTTCACAACAATGCAAATTTTATAAATATAAAAATATAAGTATTTACAAAAAATTTAAAAGTTTGTATAAGATAATAAAAGAAATTTTATAATCATAAACATATGTAAATTTACAAAAAATTAAAAATTTATATAAAATAATAAAATATTTTAAAAATGTAAACATAAGTATTTATAAGAAATTTATACAAGACAATACAACAACTTTTATTTTTAAAATTTAGAATGAAATTAACAAAAATATAGATAAAAAATAAAATTATTGTAATGCAAGAACATATTAAGTTACATATAATTACTTGTTAATTTTAATTTTAAAAAAATACGCATGACTAATATTGAAAGAGAATATCTTTACAAAATATTTCAATTTTAAATAATGTACTCTCGTTTATACTCTAAATATTAGTTATAAAATGAGATTTCTTTATATCATGTATTTGTATTTTTTTCCCTAAAATTTTATTATACTATTATATATTATATGACTATTTGAGTTATTGAAAATAACTTTAAAATTTGGAAAGATTACTTATCATTTTGTGGGTAAGCTTATAACAAGTGTTTGTTCTTTTACATATATATATTGAAATGGTTTGTGATTTTATTCTATTAAGCTCTATGAACTTTTACCATTACATGTAAACGAAAGAGCTAGTCTTGATAGAAAAAAAAAAAAAAAAGTTAAAAATGGTAACAAAATTTCTTGAACATGTTCAGCATCAAATTGAAAATATTGAAAATATTAATGAAATATATGCATATCAAGCTAATAAAGAAAAAGAAAAAAAAGGTGCTTTCTTTAAACAAGGTGTTTAAGAGTGAGTGCATAGAAGAAAAGATAAATTTCCAACTCAATAGAATACATATACCGTTGATCCTTTTAACGGGTATTGTTAAAAATTCTATGCATAATAATGACTTCAAAACATTAATTATTATCAAATGCACACAAAATTAACATTTCAAAGTATATAAATACATACTATAATGTTAGTTTTAGGGTTAAACGGTCATGGCAAGTGAAACGCACAAAATTCACATTTTAAAGCATATAAACACATATTATAATGTTAGTTTTAGGGTTAAATGGTCATGGCAAATGAAGAAGTACAATAACCACATAGAAAGTTCATTAAAAATCTTTTGTTGTCATTATGTACTGAGCAACGAAAGCGATAATATGATCAATATACTTACGATTTCACATTTAATGCTCCTTTTAAAAAGTTAAAAAAATTTGCATTGTAATATAAATGTTGCATTAAACTCATTTCATATAAATTTGACTCAAATAAGATAATAATTATAGTATAGTTAGAAATTTACCATTTTAGCAAGTTTATCTTTTATAAAATTTATTCTATGTCTAATTTTTAATTTAATGATCACCTTATTACATGTAACATTTTATAATATTAAAATATAAATTTTTTTAATTGAAATCATAATGACTTAAGTTTAAATGATCATATATACCGGTGTGTTGTATATGAAACTCGCATAGTAATTTTTATGTAATATTTTTTATGAAAGATTAGTCTAATACATTATTATTTTTAATGTATATTTGTTTAAAGACTTGATATATCATATTTATGATATGCAAAATTTAGTCATTAGTTATTTAATTATATTGTCTTTAATATTAATACATAATTAAAGATATTTTAAAAATAATACTAAGTAAGATCTTAATATTAATATTATTTTAAAAATATTATTATATTATTTTAAACAAAAATAACTCTAAAATATCTCAGTATTGCTGATTAATCTCCTTATGATAAATGTGAAGATTCAATTCTTCCGAGGAAGGAGGATATTATGCAAATAAGGGCCAGAATAATTCAAGCTTTTTAAGACACTGCAAATCTCAAGTAGACCCGTTACAATAGCATATATTTAAGTTCAAAATTGCTTTAAATGAATTAACTTAAGACACTTGAATTAAACAAATCTTTCTCTAACCTCAAAATGATATTAATTATGTTGTTACTCTCGTTTAGACTAAATATTTAGATGTTGAAAGAGTTCTGAGTCAAATGTAACAGAAAAAAAAGTTTAGCCTTAATCTTGCTATTTTAGTTTAAATATAACATTTTCTAACTTTAAACATAAATAACATTACCTTAAACTAACTTTTAATTCATACTCAAATTCATAAACACACATTAAATATGTTTCAAATTGAATTTACTATGAACATATTTAGTTGTTAAGGCTATGTTTAAGAGTTTGAAAGAGAAAAAAATGAAATGATTTAAAAAGAAAGAAAGAAAGAAAGAAAGAAAGAAAATTAAACATCATATAAATAAAAAAATGATACAAATATATAAATATCTTTATTACAGGGACAATGGTGCTCGCCAGTGAAGCTAAATTATGCATCTGTATCTGGAAAGTTTGTAATGTCCTTGAACTTTATCATCGTGATTCATGACACCCTTAAAAAGAAAGAAAGTGTTAATACAAAAAGTAAGTAAAAAAAGAAAAACTCGACCTTTACCTCTCCATCCATTATCTTGCTTTTTTCCTTAATAATATAAATTTTCTGTGTATAAATCGCAACTCAAATTAAAAAACATACTTTAATATACGTTAATGACCATTCCCATATCTAAATTCGCATTTTGGGTTTATCGAAAGTAAATCTACATTCTAGCCACGCGCCTGTAGCAAATCTTAAATTCCGTTTTATAAATAAGCATTTTTTTTTTAATGTAAATCGAGAGACTTCTTCTCATGTTTTTCACAATATTATTATCTGCATATAATTTTATAATATTTTCTTTAATTTTTTAAATTGAAAATTTCATATTCTAACATTATTTTTATATTTATTTTCTTAGTAAAATTAATTATAAAGATGAAAGTGTAAAGATGATCTATAAAAACTAAAACGTAACTAAAAAATTGTGCATTTAAATTAAATTTTACAAAGTTAATTTTGCTTTAATGAAATTTTACCAAATTTTATTTTTGAAAATAAAAAAAATCTCTTCCTGATATAGAAAACTAATTATAGTTTATTTTAAGAACTTTTAATTTATTTTGAAAATTTAATAAAACTATTTAATAAAAATAAAATAAATTTTTTAATAACTTTTAAAAATTAACTTTTCAAAAGTATGTGAAGATCTGCATGTGATAACAACCAATAAGTTTATCTCATTTTTATTTTTATTATTTTAAAAAAATTACGTAAATACAAATTTTAAATTATTCTTTTCTTTCAATTATAATATATATTAGTATAATACTATATTTTTTTAAAGTAATTTTATTAATTAATTCTAATTCAATGAGTTATTTATATGTCGTAAGCTTTTTCACTTACAAACTATAAGCTTTTAACTATTTTAAGATATAAGTTATAAACTTTCATATAATTTTATAAAATAAAGCGTAAAGGTAAAATTATAAAATTATCCTTATTTTATTTATATTTAAATAAAAGATATTAAAAATAATGATTTTTATTTTAAAATTTAAAATAATGTAATATTTCTTTGGTTACAATTAAAAATAAAATAAAAAATAAATTTGAAAAAATATTGGTAAAATAATGCAAGTTATTAAATAAATAAAAAAGTTAATTGAAGAGCTTATCATTCTATATTTCCAACCAAATACGACAATACCCTCGTTATCTCTTCACTCAAGTTGTTTGAAGAAAGAAAAAGCTAATAAAATATTTTTAATATATTCTTTATTTTAAATTAAAAATTAAAAAAATATGAGTGACTATTATTAAATTAAGAGTAAAAGTTATTGCGTTAAAAATATGATCCACGTTTTATTTTTTCATTTTCTAATAAATTTTAGTTAATGATTAAATATATTTCATAAACATTTCTAACATTTAACTTAAGTTTTATTTTAGAGTTAATTTAAAAAATGAAAGAAGAGAAAAATTTATTTAATTATGACCATTATTTATGAATTTTTAAATGTGCAAAAGGGGAGTCTTCATAAATATTTTAAAATTTATATAAGTTCATATTTTTAAGTTTTAAATTAAAAAACTTGTTTTGTTGTTGTTTTTTCTTTACTACAGCACCTTCTCTCTGCGTCGTCGCACTGCCCATTACCGAGAATGTTGGTGGTTCTATGTTTGGGGTCAACCCGATAATGTTGTGAAACACAACTTCTTTTGTCCTAACGTTCAAAATTTCAAATCATTCATTTCTCTAATAGTAATGTTATTTTAACGCTCCCTGATGTTGATACTCTGTACAAACTAAAAAAATTGTCACGTTATAGTTCTACAAAGTACATCAAATAGGATATTAAAATAGTATTTAGTCTTTCTCTAAAGTCATAAAATATTTCAGCACAAGTACTTCATTTTTTTTAAAGTTATTAATATATATTATTTATTGATTTATACTATAATTTTTAACGCATTCTCGAATAAATTTTGATGTATTTATACTATTTAATTAGGAAAAAAAAATAACGAAAAAGTTTTTCACACGGTCGCAGTTGTGTGGTTAACAAGAGCGTAGGTGAGCTTTCAGTTTCCTAGTAAAAGAGGGAACAAATGATTGTCACTGAATTGATTGAGCAGCTAGTTAGGCCAATTATTATAGCCTCTTCAAACCAACACATTGCATACATTCCATGCCCAAATCTCATGAGAATCAATATTCACCAATGCCACTTTCTAAAGCTACCTTCTTATCATCCTCAACCCCACCCAAAAGAAGCGAAACCTTCCTGGAAGACCAGGTATGTTCAACGATAGTTTCTAATTAAGTTTAATCAAATTCATTTTGATAAGTTAATCTATGTCATATTTTTATTGGAATGTATTTTTCACTAAAAAGAGCAAGATTGATTATACACACACTTTAATTGTTGTTGCTTTTAAGCTAAAATTTTCAGTTTAATTGCGGTTTGGTTTTTCAGATCCAGATGCTGAGGTGATTGCTTTGTCGCCAAAAACACTGTTGGCAACGAATCGTTTCGTGTGTGAGATCTGCAATAAAGGGTTCCAACGTGATCAGAATCTGCAACTTCATCGGCGAGGGCACAACTTGCCATGGAAGCTTCGGCAAGGAAAGGGGAAGGAAGCACGGAAGAAAGTGTATGTGTGCCCTGAGCCTTCTTGCGTTCACAACAAGCCTTGCAGGGCGCTCGGTGACCTCACCGGTATAAAGAAGCACTTTTGCAGAAAGCACGGTGAGAAGAAGTGGTCTTGCCAACGTTGCGCCAAGAAATACGCTGTTCAATCCGATTGGAAGGCTCATATGAAGACCTGTGGAATCAGAGAGTATAGATGTCACTGTGGCAACTTTTTCTCTAGGTTTTCATTCAATATCATAATTCTTTTCTTTTAGCATCAAATTTTTTGAGATTGAGGTATCAGTTCGATGTAGGAAAGCTTCTCAATTCAAAAAGTATATTAAAAAACTTGCATTACCTGTTATAGGATGAGGAAAGACTTGAATCTATATTAAGAAACTTAACATCTATATCCTACAAGATGATGATAATGAAGACGAAAATCTATAATTATATGAAAAAAAGGTTTTCATAGATCTAAATTGAAATATTTTTTAATTTTAAAGAGTATTTTTAAAAAAATATAATATTATATTTATATGTAATATTATATATGATACCAATTGCTAAAGGTTAAAATAACATATTGTAATTATATATTGCTTCATTCAACTAATTTCTTGTTATTATCTTGGCATAACATCTACGTAAATGCATTCAAAGAAAAATATTAGTAACGTATTTTTTTTAAAGAATGACTAAAACTCACAAAATTGGGTCAATTTCACTTTACATTTGATGACTCTATATTATAATTAATAAATTTCAATGAATTTTAAATAATAATAATAATAATAATAATAATAATAACAATAATAATTAGTATATTAGGAAATATAAGTTATGTTAAATATTCCTAGCATTTTTTTTCTTCTTTTTTCACATTTGTTTTAAGTTGAAGGTGTTGGCCAATGCAATTTTAGATTCGATGTAATGCTAATTATTTTTTGACTTATTGACTGTTGTAAAGGAGGGACAAATTCATCATGCACAAAGCATTTTGCGATGCCTTAGCGAATGAGGGTGCCCTACCCACTATTGGTGGTGGTGATGAGTCGGAGGAGAGGAATTCTAATAGTAAGAGGAATGTTCCTTTGGCTTCTTCGCCGCCACTTACTCCGTCAATGTCTTTGGTGTCTGCAGCCATGTCCGTTCAGAGCTCAGGTATAGTGTTTTAAAGTACGCTTACTTCATTGTCCATTGATCCTTCCTCTTATATAAGTCAAACTCAATGCTCTGTGAATATTTTTGGAAATTTTCGTCAATATTCAACTGCTAGATTTTTAAATGAATGTTGTAGTTGTAGTCTTTACTTTAATTAGAGGCACGTGACAAGGACACAACTTGAATGAAATGTTTTTCTTTGTCTCCTACCCATGTCGTGTTTTGCGTTTCATTTTGTTTTTATTCTTGCACGTGCAGAAGTTGGCCTAGTAGTACTGATGTAGCAGAAAGTAGTAACGATCATATATATAATAAACATTAATCAATTATTCCATAATATTCTTCCACTCTCTCTCTTATGCATATAAAATGTTGCACACAATCATTTAATATACGACTAAAATTTCTGTTAGCTGAATGTATACGACTTATATTTTGGACTTGAAACATGCATATATGGATAATATACATATATACATATTTATCTTATTTTATATTGAATTTTAGTAACTTTTATTTAGACAAAAAAAAAATCTGGGCTAAAATTTAGACATGATGATACTATACAAACTTTAATATCACCATTAACCATTTTTCATCACAAAACTTAACATGTAATCTAGATTTCTTATTTTTACCATGTTAATTCTTATAATCGAAAGTTTAAGTTTCAGGATAAGGTAGGATGAACTTGTGTATTGTATAGACAGTCCAAATAACTCGTGTGCGTGGGAATATGTTAGATATAAAAACATGAAGGAACGTGCTAGACATAAAAGTTGATGAACTATCATTAACGTTACACTTTTAAAAAAGTTCATTATGACAGGCTAAGCCACCTCTGTATATATAAGAGGTGTTCACTTTTAATATAACAATTATTTATTTTCCAATCAAATTAATTAAATTATTTTTCAAAATAAAAAACATATATAGAGTCCAATAAATATTTTCTTTAAACCAAAATAGGCACTTGAGTACACTAGATATATAGCCTACACACCCAAGATAGGAAATTATGTCTATAATTGATATTTTTTTGTTCTTCTCACAGTCAAAGTTTGGTAATGATAAATGTTGATGATATATTTTTTTATATTTTTAATTATTAGTTAAAATTTATGTAAAATTTGCTATTAATTTAACAACTTTATTTATTTTTAATAAATTTTAGTTAATAATTAAGAGTATGATAAAAAGAATATGTTCTTAACACTCTTCCTTGTTAGGTTCTTAATCTAGATTATTTGACTTGGTTTTTTAATATAAAGGTTATTCTTTAAAAAAATAATATTTTAAAATTAAGGTTATTCAATAATCTATAATTTTCAGCTTTGAATAATTGAACTTGTTTTAATTTAGAAATGTTTAGAAAATAATATATTCTTAGATCTTAAGATTTGAAGTAGAGAGAAAAAAGAAAATTGTCTTAAAATTATTTTTATTTTATTTATTCCTTAAAGATTCCTTTTACTTACAACTTTCATATAATCGTATTTGAGACATTTTTTCTTTTAAAAATAACAAATGCTCAAAATAAATTAGGTCAAACACTATCTTATTTAGTATTTATCTATATAACTTGTTTTTGGAATTAACTTCTCTTTTCTTTAAATATAAAATCATGTCATACATAATTTTAAAAAGTCTTAGAGAAAATGAAACTAATTTAGTTTTAATGCAAACTAAAAGATAATTCTTTTATCGAATATAATTTATAAAATTATAAGCCAACAATCGGACTAAATAGTAGGTACCTTAGCCAATGTATATATAAAAGGACAATGATAATCCCCATTGTTAGAATATAATTTCAATTTATTTATAGTGTAAATAGTTTTTAATATTCATCAGGCTATTAACATTGTTATATATTAATGGCTTGACAATGATTAGTCTCTTATTTATCAAACGAAATTTAAATTATTAATATATAAATATGATATGTCTATATTAATAATATAATTTTTATTAAACCAATATTATATTGACAAAGACAATTTTAAGGTTTAACATGTTTTATTTATTAGTTAACGAGATTTTTTTACAGCGTCAGTTATACAAAGTTAATCTTTGAACACTATTTTTGTTAAAAACATTTTAATATATCTTTCAAAATAAAGACTACAGTATTCACAATATAGTGTATCACTATTTAAATTTTTCATTATAAGAATATATATATATTAACCACAATGGATTGAGATTAAGTACTTAAAAGTGATAAATTTTTATTAAAAGTAATATATTTATTATATTGAGAATATAAAAATATAATAAACATGTTTGATAAAAAAATATTATCTTTATATACTTAAATCGGTTCGAATTGAAATTTACAAAATTATAAACATAAATAGCACATTTTTTAAGTGTCTCTACTTAAAATAAATAAATAAATCTTCCTTGCATATTTCGATCCAATTATGCTTTTCGAACGTAAACATTGGTATTACAGGAATTTTGGAAAATCCAATGAACAAGGGTGCAACGGGCACCTCTTCCACTTCAACCAGTATCAGAGTTTTTGCAAGCATATTTGCATCCTCAACACTGTGTTGCTCCAAATCATCATCAATAACATTCTCCAATCACATGACAGCCTCATCAACGGCTACACCTATCCCAACATGCCTTTCTCTCTCCAAGAGTGAATCTTCCCACTACACTTCATCTTCACAAGCACCTGCGTTGTCTGCTACTGCGTTGCTCCAAAAAGCAGCTCAAATGGGTGCTGCAGCATCAAATGCATCGTTGCGGCTTCAGAGTTTAGGCTTAGCAACAACATCATCTTCCTCTCCTGAAGATGAGACTATTAGTGCAATGTTACATTGGAATATTAAACATGCAAAGCAACATGCAAAGCAAGATAATAATCATTCGGTGCCAAATTTAATGGTTGACTCTCAGACTCAACCATTGACTCGTGATCTTCTTGGTCTAAGCGTCGGTGGCAACGCTAGTCTTTCTGCTTTGTTCCCTTCTTTTGGAGAGAGCTTCGATGCATCAGCAAAGCACTGCTGAACATGTTGTATCGTCTTTTTTGTAATACAGTTTGTTTAAGTTATTTTATGCATTAAATATTTTATCTTAAATGAATTAATAAAGTTAAAATATTATATTGAAAATATGTTTAGAGTTAAAACTGTATTAATTTACCTACATTAAGATTATTTACCCTATAAATCAAACAGCTTAATTAAGCAAACCCTCGAGGTAGTGATCATGCTCCTCTCTTCTTTGTTCAAGTGGAGATTAGTTGTACAATACGAGAATGTGACCAAGGTGTGCGTTGTTGTTATTAGTATATAAGATTTGTTGAACACAAGACCTGAACAGAAAGTTGTCATTTCCTTAATTATGTAATATATTTTTTAAATGTATGTACGAACAAAGATGAAAGTTAATGAAGTATATATAATTATGTATAATATTTATATGTAAAATCTCCTGTATTAGAGAATTTGAAACTCTCTTATACGTAAAATAATCATTACAATTAATATTATGTTAGATAGTAAATTTAGTAATTTAATTAAAAATATTAATATTTTTTCTATAAAATAAATCATAATTATTAATTCAAAAATAATATAGAATACTCTCTTAAAGTTTAATAAACACCAATATTTATATATAGTGTCAATTTTGTCTTACATTTTAAATAATATATTTATTTATTATTATGAGAATATATTTCTTATAAATTTAGTTTCTCTTATTATTACATGAGTGAAAGATACAAAATTAATAATTATAATAAAATTTGTTATTATTTGAGAAAAAATTACTTATTTGTTTTTTTTTCTCTTTTATAACACGATAGTTTATCATGTTTCTTAATATTAGGAGAGAATATATCATCCAGATCCTCTGCCCCTAATTCTTTTTGTTTTTCACATTATATCTTTTATTTATATCTGATCATGATAACTCATTTGTATCGTAAATAAAAGAACGCAACAATCACTTTTTTCTGAACAATTTTATCATTTAAACATCAAATTTAATATAAATCATATTTGTTATCGTATAACTATTTTTATCTCACATTTTTTTTATTTTTGTATATAAATATTTCAAAAATACTTCTTAAAATTAAGAGTCAACAAAAATTATTTCATAAGAACTGTAATTTGAAAAAGAATAAAATAAATTAAATAGACAAAATATGTCATTTATTATTATTCACGTGAGTTATAATAGTATAAGATAAGGTATTTATGACATGTAAGTGGCCAAATATTTAAACAATTAGTTATAATTAAGTTTGATATATATATATATATATATATATATTGTCTCTTAATTCTTTATTTTATTTTAGTTTAGTTAGTTAATTTTTTTCTCATTTTTGTCTCTTAAATTAGAAAAATACTTCAAATAAATTTTTCATTGAAATTATTAACTTTGTTAAAATATTATTATTCATTTTCTTCCTTTTTATTATTCCCATGAAAATGTGATATACTTTAACATCTTCTTTTCTTTTCTTTTCTTTCTTGTTTATTTTTTTCTTCCCTTCTTTTAACCCTTATTCACACACTCAACGATTCTATTTCTTTCTCCCTTGAAAATTTTAAGGAAAGCACAATATATTTAGACTCTTTTTTTTTTCTTTTTGCATAAGTTCACAGGAAGGGAGAAGATGCATAATTTTTTTAATAAAATTGATGTTTTATATATAAAAAAAAACCTTATTTAAGATACTTTGTAGGTTAAGGAATTAAAATAAAAAATAATTAGAAGATTTAAATAAAACAAAACAAAACAAAAAATTAAGGGACCAATTTACTAATTTTGCTCCACATATATATATATATATAATACATAATATATATATATATATAATAAGTTTTATTTATAATCATATAATATTGCAAAATTTAATATATTGATAATGTTAAATATTACAATTTTAAATAAAAATTATTATTTATAATTTTTAATAATTATATGTTACTAAACATACATTAAAAAACATAATACTAATTAGTGCTTGTTTTTCTCAACAGGTGGAATTGATAATTGAAGTTGAAGTTAAACTTAGACTCCATCCTAACCCATGACATTAGTGAGCCCAACAAATCAACGAGTTAAGCTTTACATTGATATTCCTGCTGATACACATGCAGCTAATGTTTTGTATAACACTATTTCATCATAATAGTAAGTTATGGAAAGGAAATGCTCTTGAATTCAATCCTGTGAGATTTGTCGACACTCGAAAACATTTAGCTCCATTTTTTCCCTTTGGATGATGCCCCAACTATTGTGTGGGTCAAAAATTTGCTTTCGTTGAAATCAATATTTACTTGCCATTATCGTACAGAGGTACTCTTTTGTAGTTTGCCAATATATGCTATCAAGAACCAATGTTTTTTATGGGTGTTTCACCTCAAAAGTTGCCATTGGTGTTTGAAATATAATGATAAAATATAGTCTTTTTTTTTTAAATTTGAAAAAATAATTATTTTTAATTTATAAAAAATTGTTTTTTATACTTTTTTGTTCATTTAAAATGACTTCTTAAGAAGTTTGTCTAAACAATTAAACATGGTGAACAGTGTAACTCTGTGTACTCGTTTAGTATGAGCTGCTATATGTTTGATACATTGGACCTGCAGAGTAAGACAATTACATATTTTATTAGAATTTTTGTAAGTTTTTGCGCTTTTTATTGGTTTGATCGGTGATGTTATATTTTAGCTTGTAACTGTGTTAAATAGGTAAGTTAACATTTTCTATTGAAGTCGTGTAGTATGATTCATTGTAAGTGTTTGTGACTTGTTCTCTCCTCTTATTTATAAAAAGATAATTATCATTATCTTTTTTTTTTAAAATAAATAAATATTATTTTTAAATACATTAATTATTAAAGTAAAATTTATATTAATAAGATACTCATTTATTACTATCCTCTTACACCAGTGTAAGTATAAAAACTCTTACACTCAACCTTTTATTTAATTTATATCTAACAAGTTATAATTTATTATTTTATTGACTTTTAGATGTAAGTTAAATAAAAAGCTCATATTAAGTATAAGAATTTTTAAATTTAAATCTGTATAATTTAGATTTTTTAAGATAAAAATTTCTGTTATAATTTTATATTTTTTATTTCACTGTGTAATTTTTCATAACCTTATAAATCTCTCATACATTTTTTTTATCACTAAATCCCTCCTTATCTCTTATTTTTACTTCATTTAACATTTAACATTTAACATTTTTCATTTTTCATTTGAAATTTTACGAAAGTTTACTGATATGAAAAAAACATATAAGGTAAGTTAATTAAGACTGAATGTATTATCATAAGGAGATAAGGTGTAATTATCCGTAAATATTTTTTACCTTTATTTTTAAGGTTATAATTACAATAATAGTGGTAAACAATACAATTTATCCTTAAAACTAAAATAAAAAACTAAGATACTAATATCAATATATCTTCGTTATAAGATAAAATTTGAGGTAAAACATGTTTTATCATACACATTTTAAGCATTAACTTTTAGATTTTTGTACATGTTTTTTTATTAAAAACATTTTAAAAAATCCTAACAAAGTCTGTAAATTGATTTTAAATATGTAAGAATGGAAACTTATTTGTTAAAATACGTATACATAAAAAATATAAAGTATAAAAACTTTATTTTCAACAAAAAGTTAAAAATTAATATTAACATTTTTATATAAAAACTTACAAAAATATAAACTTCTATATTTATTATTACTAAAATAATTTTAAATAAAAATAGTCCATGTTTAATAATAAATAAATTATTAATTGAAATATTTTTTTTAAATTTAATTTTAATATATTGTTTGTGTCTTGTATTTCAATTGATTAAAATCTAAAATACATATGATTTTAAAATTAATTATTATAAAAATAGTAATTTATTAATATGATGACAATTTATAATTAAATGACAGTATTAAAATTGTAATATTATTAATATATTTTAAGATATTATTTATTATGTAGTTTGAATTAATTCTATATTTAAAAAGCAAAACAAACCGAATTACAAAAATAGTATTCTAGATAATATTAGTAAACTAAAGATAAATATAAAAAAGATAAATCAAATCGTTCAAGCTAATCTAAATCACTGCACTTATATTGAATCAAATAAGATTTGATATTATTTTCAAAACATTTCAAACTGAAGATTTAAATCAGAATTGTTTTTTTATATAGGATATTTTTTTAGTTAAATATCAGTTCAAATTAAATTATGAATTTTCTAAATTTACGATAATATCAATTTTATTTATTTATTTAACTTGACAACAGTTATAAGAAGTTATATATAATTAATTTTTAATAAAAATTACAAAAATAAACGCAATTGAAAGCATTAATATTTGATACAATAAGTACTACAATATTATATATATATATATATATATATATATATATATTAAAAAATTATTTTTTAGGAGTTTAATTGTCCTTTAAATCTAATCTCAAATGAGATTTTAATATCAAAATGCTTAATTTAAAAAGATAAAAATAAATTACTTTATTTTAAGTAATAAATAACTTTTAATGTATGTTTAAAGATATATGTTAAGAAAATAAAGAATAATATATCTTTATTAAAAAGTATAAGTTTTAATATTATTGATATATCGAATTTAATAATATATTGTTAGTTTTAATAAAAAAAATATTATACATTAAGTTTTATTTTATACTATTAAACGCATATTAAAAAATTATTTAATGAATTAAAAATATTATTAATTAAGGTTAAAATTACACCCATTTATACTTGGATAAGATATGAAAATTAAATAAAAATAAAAAATTATAAAAGAAAGATCTATTCTTATCTTATTTTAATTTAAATATGTATAAAAATAATAAATTAAATATATTATATTTATTTTTAAATTAAATTATTCATAATATAAAATTTATACTTAAAAAGATATAATAAACCTATAAAGTAAACTTACCATATCTTAGGCAATAAACAAAAAATATAATATCCATTTAATAGGGTAAGTTGGTTGATAATACAATAAAAAATAACAAAATCTTATCTCACAAAATCCACAAAATTAATAAAAAAATCCTGTCCAAAAGATAAGTATAAATTTAAATAAAAAAGGATTAGTAACGCTTTATATTAGCATCCCATACCTGCATTAAATTTAATATAACAGTATATTGATTTAGCTTCCATAGAAATTTTCGAGATTCCTAAAATTGTAAGAAATTTATATACTCATACTGTCATACACATATTCTCCCTGAGACCGGTCATTGAGTTGTGGCTGTGGCAGGTCCTTCTCCGAAACTGGAAAGTTAGCAGAGAAAGAACCTTGCCTTCCTCGTGCCCCCTCTCTCTCACCTACCTCACTTTCATCTTTCATTCTTCACAATCACTTTCCCCTAATTCCTCTTTACTCCAATATTTAAGCCCCCAACCCTTCCTGTTACGTTCCACGCTTTTCTCGTTAGGGTTTGTATTCTCCATAACAGTAAGATTCTTCCCTTCTCTTTCTCTTTTATTTTCATAATTTCCTTTTCGAAACTTGTTTTTATTTTAATTATTTGCTCAATTTTTTAAATCATTTATTTATTTTTATTTTCCGCTTGTTGACCTTTACTGTGGAATATCTCAGGTATCTGAATAATTGAACCTGTCGAAGGGATTTGTGATTTAAGCATTGATGTATTGGGAGTTATGAGAATCTATTTAGCTTGTAGTTGTGGTGATCGTTTCCTCGTTGTGTTTGGTAAACCTAGATTATTGTGTTGGTAAAAATAAAATGCCATCTAATTACTTTTCGAGATTTGGAACTTCGATTCGTAGATCAGTTGTGGGGAAAGAAGGTGGAATCGGGGACTCTGCTGAAGTTCTGATTGGACAGGGGAAGTTTTGGTTTGGTCGCTCAAAGTTTTTTCATTCTGTGAATAACTTAAGTTCTGTGGATCTGCGGCTAATTGTGCGCTCTGGTGTTGCCTTAGCTTCAAGCTCGGAATCGGTTGGCAGGAGAAGAACCTTGTCTGTAGTTGACACGCTATCTCGTACATTTTCTGTTCCGTCTGTATCAGGGCCTTCGTTTCAGGTCTGTGGATATCATATTGGCTGTGCGCTTGCCGGACCTGACCAGTTTTCGACTGGCACCAAAGTTCGGATTAAAACAATGGCCGCTCACATGTCCAGAGTTGTGGTTGGTGAATACTATTTAGATAACTCACATTTGAAGTGTAATCACCATTTATTGTCAACAAAGAATTGCAGTAATATCTGTTTAAGCACGAGTTTGAGGAATGGTGGGAAAGTGAGCATGAGTTTGAAAAACCATTGGCAGCCAGATAACCGCGCATTTCATGGCTATTTTATTTACAATGTTGCCAAGACGTGGTGCAGTTCTCACCCTTACATGCAGTCAGGATGTGGAGATTTCCATAGTTCTTCGACATCATGTTACTCTGTTGGGCCTGCTCATGATGTGCCTTTTGATACTTCTGCCCGAGATGAGCAGCTAACGAAATCTGCAGATTCAGCTGAACAGTATGTTGTTTCCCTTTGATATTGATCATTGTAAGCATAACATGGATGTGAAGCAATATCAATTCTCTGCAGTTAGATCGATATTTATTTATTTTGGTGCTACTGCTGCTTGTTGTTTACATTTTTCTCATTGGTTAGAATTATTATTTTGTCACTTATAGATGACACAGGTTATGGCTGTAATAAACATCTATTTATGATCTAAAGAGAATTTCAAAAGGATTTGAGAAGTGAAAAATGAAAATAGTTTTGCGTCCAGGATTTCAACCTTGAGGACAAGGATGATTTGAAAGGGGTAGAATTGTTTGTAGATAGGACAATAATCAGGACAGCTATTTATTAGTTAGTTAGTTAAATAAGTAGGAGAATGTGAGGGGAAAGGGTTCATGCTATCTTGGTATCATTTTGCAGTGTGAGCTTTGCTTTTTGGGAAAGGAGAAATGCTTTGCCAAGGGAAAATCCTTGGATGAGAGATCTCTCTAGTCTCACCTATTTTATGTTCAACCTTGTTCTATCTATAATATCTTTCTTTTCTTTTTCTCAATTCTGTTCTTGGTTTATATCAGGCTGGAGGATGAGTTCATTAGTAAAAAGGTAGGTTAAAATGGTTCTTGAAACCCTTTTTGAAAATTGAAAGGTTTAATTGCCAAAATTGAAACTCAAGAAGTCAATTTGACCGTATCAAAGACCCAAAATTAAAGGGTGTTCTACGTTTCACATAAAGTAAGAAAGCTGGATGACTTTCATAATTTATTCACCTTGATGTTTTAGACAAGTATTTTTGTATTGTGAATAATGATGCATGATATTGTGAATTATGAGTCTTTTTCTTAAAATTTTGTGTGTCACCGTGCTTCTGCTTGTTATTTTGGACCAGCGATTTTGATACAGTAAAACCCAAAAAAAAAAAAAAAACACCTCAGGAATTTTTTGTTATCTTGACTGTTGGATCAACAAATAACATGTATATGCTATATAACTAAAAATGTCTGCAGGCTATATATGGTGATTAAATGTATATTTTGAATTTGCAATCTTAATGGCTGATATAACCTGATTGGAGATGTTGTCTGCAGGAAAACTCCTTCAGGAAAAGCCCTTAAGTTAATATCAGGATCATGCTACTTGCCTCATCCTGATAAAGAAGAAACTGGTGGAGAAGATGCTCATTTTATATGCTCTGAGGAACAAGCAATAGGGGTGGCAGATGGTGTTGGTGGCTGGGCAGATCTTGGTGTTAATGCTGGATATTACTCTCGGGAGCTCATGTCCAAATCAGTGGACGCTATTCAGGAGGAGCCCAAAGGTTCAATTGACCCTGCTAGGGTGCTGGAAAAAGCACACTCAAGCACAAAAGCTAAAGGTTCTTCTACAGCATGCATCATTGCACTTACTGATCAGGTTATCTTCACTTTTAAGCTGTCTCTTTGGTATATTGCAAGTGCTTCACACTGACTTATAGTGCTTTATGCTTCTCAAAATGCTGATAGGCTAGTTTACCATTCAAAGTTATTGTATCCATTTTCTTCATATTTTCAGTATCATTTTTGTATTATCCAATGGTCTTCTGGTGACTACTTTCAGCCCTTTTTCATCACCCCGAATATTCATTTGTGGTAGTAAATTTGAAAGTCCTAGAAAACAAGTCAGTGATATATAGGCCTTTCAAAGTCATTTTCACTGTTTCTAGTAACATAGCTTTGTTCTAAGAACTTTGTAGATCTTGCACCCTTGTGAATTTTAACTGATTGGATTGAATGGTGATGTGAAGAAAATCAGTTTACAAAACATAATGTGGTATTGAATAATATAGGGTAAAAAGTGGCCCATGATATGCTTGTGAGTTAGTTAAAATCACCAGAGCTTTATGATGCCTTTTTTAATTAATCTTCTGAAATATTAGTTTTTCGGCATTGGACTGGTCAAAGCATAAGATTATGTAATATGAAGCTCCATTGAATAATGACGGTGGTGATGATTGGGTGCTTTTTAACTTCCAAAAGGACTAAGGGGTAATATTTGGTAGATAGCTTCAAATGGGACGGGATTAATATATTAGTTCTGTTGTAGTTTGATATTTTTCAGAAATGTAACAGAACAATACATAAGGTTGTAAAAGTGGTACATTTACAATAAATTAAGCCTATTTTGGTCTTCAAACAAAAATAGAGAAAATAAATTACAACTGATTATCATATTTAACATTAATTTCTAAAATTGTTAGTTAGAAATTCGAGATACAAGAATTATGACATAATACAGATATAATACAATTTTTTAATTTTAAAAGATTAAAAAAAAAACTGAAAAAAGCGAAAAATAGGTAATAAAAAATGACAATAAATATTCCTAAGTTTTCATAGAATCAAAGTATAGAAGCCTAGACGTACAGATAATGCATTGTTTGTATTATTCATCCCAAATGCATCTAATAACATCTCAACGTAAGTGCTGGCAAAGCTGTAACTATAAATGACCAAAAGATATATGTTAAACTTCTGGGTGAACGGCAACACAACTTCGTTTCCCTTTATTTTGGTCAGGTGAATGAAATGCAGAAGGGCCCAGGCATAAAAGGCCCAAGCCCACGAGACTCGTGTCCCTTCATTTAGATATGAAGAAAAGCTTCTTAAAGTTGCAACAGTCGAACTTGGAAGTACTCTTGTGATTGTGAACAAGACTACTTTTTTTTTTACCCCTTTATTTATTCAATTGTGAAAAATAAAGTAGGCAAAACCCATGGATCTCACAATCCTTATTGAAACAGGAAAAACAAATTGATTTCATTCTGTTTGCATGCCTAAAGCAACGTAATAGTTCTAAACTTTGTCTTAGAACTTCTTTTTTTCCAGATGTTCTCGATATTATATATTTTAGGGCATAGTGACTTGTATAGGTCACAAGTATTCTGCCATTGTGAATAATCGGTTTTGCTGTGTTATTTCGTAATCCTGAAGGAGATCTCTATTTTGTGGCATTCTTTTTGTCAACATTATTCATTTTGTGTTTCTTTCACAGGGACTTCATGCTATCAATTTGGGAGACAGTGGGTTTATGGTGGTACGTGATGGGTGCACCATATTCCGGTCCCCAGTGCAGCAACATGATTTCAACTTCACATACCAGCTGGAATGTGGTAGCAATGGTGATTTACCCAGTTCTGGTCAGGTATTTTCCTATTGTAGACTTCTTGGCTAGGAGAATTTGATTAAATTGGTTAATGAAGTATCATTTCATTTACTCTTAATGATAATTTGCTTAATACTGATTCCAGAAGAAATGTTTGCTGATGGATATTCTGCTTGTTGATCACTTCTAATGTTCATGTGTTTGTGTGTATAATACAATAAATGCGTACAAAAGGGCATGGCAACTTTTCCTTATATTTGCTTTCTAATCCGCAGAAACCTACTGTTTCCTTCTGTGTATCTACTAAGATTTAAACCTAGTCGTAGAATAGTTCTTGGAAATATATTTATTTTATTTTGTTCAATTAAGTTAATAAACATTGAGTTTTTAGGATGTGTTCAATCTAATCCATTGTTTTTAAATTTTTGCAGTTTAGTTTCTTAATGTACCATTTGTACTCAAGTAATCCATACAAACTAGACTGTTAAATGCTTTGCATGTGATTTACAAACGTCTGTAATCACCAAGTCAGGCTGAACATATAATCCGACATTAGTAATAGTCTAATTTAGGTGACAGCCAACTCCAGAAACTGCATTAATACAGATAATAACATTTTTCAGTTTCATTTAATTGTTGCCATGTTAAGCAGTAAGCATATTATGTACGTGGTATATGATCCATTAAGATATGGACACTCTATCCATCTAAGAGTCAATAAGCATGCCGATTCATTGTGTAAAAAATTCCATATATCTAACATTTTCATTTGCTTGATTAGTCGACTATATTATGTACACAGTTTGTGATCAATTAAGATCTGGTGCCTGATACTAATTGTTATCAGGCAGGTTTGTATTTGAGGTCTTAGTTCTGCAATGTTTCTGGGGAGATTGCTTGTTTGCTACAAGACACACACACACAAAACAAAATTTTCTATTAAACATGTTTTTGTGATTATTACTGGATTCAGGTTTGGTTATAGGTTATTCTTTTCAGTGATAAAGTTCTGAGGATGAACTCATTCAGTTTGTTGGACATCTGGTTCTATGCATTAAGGTCTTTACTTGTATAGGATGCTTAGATTATCTACCTTGTTTATATCAGGTTTTTACCATTCCTGTTGCACCTGGCGATGTGATAGTTGCTGGCACGGATGGGCTGTTTGATAACTTGTACAATAACGAGATTACAGCTGTGGTGGTTCATGCCATAAGAGCCGGCTTAAGCCCTCAGGTGACAGCCCAGAAGATAGCTGCATTGGCTCGTCAACGGGCACTGGATAAGGACAGGCAGACTCCTTTCTCAACTGCTGCTCAAGATGCTGGATTCCGTTACTACGGTGGCAAGCTTGATGATACTACAGTTGTAGTTTCATATATTGGCTCTGGAGATGCTTAATTTCATTTTGCTGAAGTCCCCCTGTATATACCATTTTGTCTCGGTGGTGTTGTGTGATTAAAAGTAAAAAATTATGGTCACATGATAGCTCCATTGAATTTAAATTTCCGTAGTCCATGTTATCCTTGGTTTGTTTGTCCAAACCGAATAGTTACTACACTGAGAATAGTATGTCCAGTTAGATTTAAATGTAAAAGGATATTTGTTGAGGTTGAGAAATGAGTACCTTGTCTTATTTACTTTCAATGGGTGGAGATAAATTCTTGCTGTCAATGCTGTAAGCATAAGAAATAATAGATTATTGTCTTCATACTTCTCTATTTATTACTGACTAGTGTTGTTTTGTTTATTTTGATGCCGTAGTCACTTAATATTTGCTATTTTTATTTATTTTTCATCCGCTTCTTTTGAGGACCAGTCCAATTATCTCGGAGGTGGATGGAAGCGGGAGGACAAGCAAGGTGTCGTTAATATTATAATGTTTTTACTGTATATTTTGGCATTGTTGCGATATTGGAACTTCATTGCACAATCTGTAACCTTCATTTCAATTAAATTAGAAGAAAAATTGTATAATGTATATGTTTTTAACTCACCTTCATTTTAGCTGTACATAAATGACAAGGATAGTTATATTGAAAGTGATTAAATCATTACCGGTCGATGCAAATAAAGGAAAGGAAGAATATGAATAAAAAAAAGTTGATGAGAAGTATAAAGTTATTGTATTTTAATAGTAAAGATAGACATAAAATACGGGTAAAAAAAAAAAACAATTTACTCCCTCCTTTCTATCAATTTCTCATTACTTAAGGCGAGAAAATAATATATGCTCGTTCTAATTAAATATAATTTTTTCCTTTTTGTTTTATTTTCATTCCAAACCAAAAGGAAAATATTAAAAATTATAAATTCATTCTCGGCCTCTCTCTTACATCATGTCTCCTATTCTAGAAAATAAGCTTAAACAAATAAAAGATTTCTATAAAAGGAAACAACCATTTATTAATCAACCTTCTTCCTATATCGAAAATAAGTAATACTTGGATCATTGTGCCATTATTATCTTTAAAGGGATTTTTTTTTTCTCGTTTTTGAAACGAGGGATTCTTATAATATGCAGATATAACTATACAATATTTTACAAAACAATAGAAGCTACAAATAGTTGAATAATATTTACTTTGGTTTTTTCACCGAAAGAAAAAATTTACTTAGGTTTAAATATATTTTTAAATTTTATAAATGTGATTAAATTAAATTTAATATTTTTAAAAAATTGTTAATTTTAATTTCTATATATTTAAATTTTTTTGAAAATAATCTATGTTATTTCTTTGTGATAAAGTAACATAGATTTAGTGCATTAATAATTATTATGAGATACTAAATAACACGTCATTTAACTTACGTCATTAATAAATGTTAGAAGATAAAAATTAAATTTAACCATATTTAGACATTAAAAATATATTTTATTTCATTTACTTAAAAGGAATATTAAGTAAATGGCTAAATGCTTTTATTTTCTTTCTAAATGTGCCTTGGCCAATTGACAAGTTGGCAAAACCGTAATTTATCTGTTATATAACTTATGGTATAAAATCTTATATTTATTGAATAATTGTTTTTATATTTTGGTCAACTAGAGTGTGTAGTTGAGAACTACTGGTAAGAATAATGGAACTGGCATTGGGTGTTCCTGAGAGTATATAATGGTCCGTCTAGAAAGTGGATCCCATTACCATTCATTTGGCAAACAATGAGTTGACAAAAGGCAAACGAAGAAGACTCACTACGCAGATAGTTCTTTAGCTGTGAATGAGTGAGTTGAAATCTGAATCTGAATATCCTTCAAATTTGATCTGATACTGATAAGCAGCATGGCGGGTCGTAGAGACGCATTGCTCACCAGAGAAAAAGGCCAATCATCACTTGGATCTCGAATCGTCGTCGCCGTCGTCATCGGCGTTCTCCTCGGCTGCCTCTTCGCCTTCTTCTCTCCCAACGGCTTCTTCACTTCCACTCCTCACATCCACAACCCTAAGGTTCCATGCGTTTAATACTTGCAGCAGTAATCTTATATCCTCTTATTAATTCTTCTAATATTAATTACATATTTATTAGCTCTAATATCTTCAAAACATAAGTGAAAGAAAAATTAATAGGATGTAGGTGCAAGTGGGATTTACAATTTCTTAGATTCAGTAAGATAAGTTTTTTCTGTGTTGTTTTCATATTAAAATTGGAGTTTCACTTCAGTGATACGCACAATAATTTAAAGCTCAGCACACATTACCGATTAGAAAATCTAATATTGATCAGAGAACCACACAAAAACAATTACTTAGGACAAAATTTAGATACAGTACGATAAGGCTTTTTAGTGTTGTTCTCAAAAGTTGAAGTTTTAGTTTGGTAATCCATGCAATAAATTAAAGTTTTTGGCACACATTAGTGATGAGAAACTCTAATATTAATTAGAGAACAGCACCAAAAATACCTATAATAATGTATTTAAAGTTTTATCGTTGGAATTATCGGTTATATTGATTGTTTATATTAATTGATAGATGGGTTTATCTGCGTGTGAATCGCCGGAACAAATTGATGCACTGAAAGTTGATATTCTATCGGCGAAGGAGAAGAATATGGAGCTGAAAAAGGAGGTGAAGGGTCTTATGGAAAGGCTGCGTATGGCTGAGCAAGGAAAGGGTCATGCACAGGAACAGTTTGTTGTGCTTGGTGAGAACCACAAGGCTGGTCCGTTTGGCACTGTCAAGGCTCTCAGAACCAATCCACCTGTTATTCCTGATGGATCTGTGAACCCTAGATTGGCCAAGATCTTGGAGGAAGTTGCTATTTATAAGGAACTCATTGTTGTACTTGCTAACTCTAATGTGAAAGAGATGTTGCAGCTATGGTTCACTAGCATTAAGAAGGTTGGGATACCAAATTATTTGGTTGTTGCTTTGGATGACAACATTGAAGAATTCTGCAAATTGAATGATGTTCCAGTATATAGAAGAGCTCCTGATCAAGACGTTGATGTGGTTGGTAAGATTGGCGGTAACCATGCTGTTTCAGGATTGAAATTTCGTATTTTGAGAGAATTTCTGCTACTGGGTTACAGTGTTCTTCTCTCGGATGTTGATATTGTGTACCTGCAGAACCCCTTTGATTATATTTATAGGGACTCGGATGTGGAGTCTATGTCTGATGGTCACAATAATATGACAGCTTATGGGTATAATGATGTCTTTGATGAACCTTCGATGGGTTGGGCTCGGTATGCTCATACCATGAGAATATGGGCTTATAACTCTGGTTTCTTTTACATTAGGCCTACTCTTCCTTCGATTGAGCTCTTAGATCGAGTAGCTGCCCGGATTTCTAAAGAAGACCCTAAACCGTGGGATCAGGCAGTTTTTAATGAAGAGCTCTTTTTCCCTTCGCATCCAGGTTATGATGGGCTTCATGCTGCCAAAAGAACAATGGATATGTACCTTTTTATGAACAGTAAGGTTCTATTTAAGACAGTCAGAAAAGATGCAAAACTTAAGAAGTTGAAGCCAGTGATTGTACATGTTAACTACCATCCTGATAAATTTCCAAGGATGAAGGCAATAGTTGATTTTTATCTCAATGGGAAACACGATGCATTGGATCGTTTCCCAGATGGTTCTGATTAATAGGAACATTAGAATAAATATTGTTCTAACACGGGAAGGATTTATATGCTGCTCCAATTGATGTGATACAGAGGCAATCATTTTAGTTCACCTCCCAGGATCAGTTTTTATCTCAATGCACTTTCTGTATTCTGTTTTCCCACTTGTGTGTTGTACGATTATCAAACAAATATTCTGTACCCTTTGTATGCTCTCAACATTGTATATGTTTTTCTACTTTGTAACGAGTTGAAATTCAATATCTCTGCAATGAATTTTGGTGTTTCCTTGGTGAGATTTTTAACTCTTTAGCATAAAGTAAAGAAATTAACTGTTTTATTACAGTTTTGGGATATGAAATAGCATGGAGGCTATGACTGCTCAGAGATTGTTGTGGGGGTCTTCAAACTGGTTGCCTACATATTGGTTTCAACATTGACCTGGAAAAGGTGCAACCAGTTGAATGTTGCGGTTTTCCATTAAATATCTATTGGTCTGATTTGGCTCTCTTCTCTTGCCACATGGTCTCAAGTCTCCCTACACTTAGTCACTTACAGTATATTTGCTCCTTTCCGTCATTATTTTCCTCGCTTCACATGGAAGGTTTCTTATTTTTTATCCCAGCCAACATGAATGAATGATACATCACATGACAGCCATATAGGAGAATTGAGTTTTGGTGGCATGCAGAAAATGTGAAGTGTTCAATTGAAGTTTGGGTAAGTCAACGCATCTATAATAATGCCCATGAAATCAACAACATAACATGTTATCTAGGCCGAAGATTTTGGTTTTTTTTTCTTTTCCTGTGTTTTATTTTGGCATGTTATGGAAAGCAATTGCATAACCAAGGAAATATTTGAGAGAGACATGAAAGGATATCGTCTGAGTTTGCAGAATAGCTTCTCTTGACAGTGGATTTATTTATCACATTATTCTGCTCAGTCGTGGCTGCGTAGAGTATGAGTCATCATTATTACTTTTCTTTATTTCCTTTTTGGAATTTTCTACTTCTTTGGCTCATTCATTCACATGTTTTCCAGGCTTCGTCCCATACCTGTCCTCTTCTGTAGTACTTCCCCCTTCGTGTCCATGATGTCGTGAAGAAACAAGTCTTTCTGGAAGAGAAAATGTTTTCTTGACACCTAAAGGTATCCTTTTGATTTAGGAGGGTATTTTTCTTATATGGGTATATATATATTAAAAAAATGAGAAAGATTAAATTAATTATATATAAATCACATTTGGTGTTAATTTTTCGTTTTTCAAATAACATAATTTCGGTCAATTGATTCCTTCACGTAACCGTAGCTATTTTTATTCTAGTAGAATATCTATAAATATCTTTTTCTGTTTATTTCGTATATAAACAAACAAGAGTGTTTTTTCTCCTTCATATTTTGTGGTCATAACACTTTTTTTATAACTTTTTTACTACGCAACTTTATTTCTTTATGTGATTAAACTAATGCATTGATACATCCATCAATTTTACATTAATTATTGACAAATTTGTTAAGTTATTTTCTTGACTAGAGTTATTTTATTTATTTTAGTTGATTAAAATATAAATTTAATCTTTACATTTGTTTTACAATTTAATTTGATGATTTTTATAGGTAAAAATGTTTTATTCACTTTTTAAATATTTTTTATATGAGAGTTATCACGAAAATTTAATTTGATTGTTATATATTTTAAACAATTTTAATTTAGTTTATGCATCTATAATTTTAAAAAAAAAATTAGTCCCTAATCTTTGTAAAAAATATTTGTGATTAGGGATTATTAAAAAAATATATATGTATATGAGCCAAATTAAAAATACACGACACTTATAAAGATTAATGTATAATTTGACAGAAAAATATAATTAGCATATTAATAAGAAGAGAATGACATTGTGATAGACGTCAAGACTAAGATAATTTTAAAATATTTTGTACAAAGATTAAATTTAAAAAAATATACTTATAAAAATTAAATTAAAATAATATAACATATATTAGGACAAAATTCATATTTTAACATTTTAGTTTTTTATGCTAAGCTTGGATAAATTTTTTAATAAGTATTTATAGAAGTCAAACATTAAATAGTAAAATGAATTAAACTTATTTATAAATTAAAATTAACTTATTTGACTCTATTTTTTTAAAAATTTCTCTAATTTAATTTTTTTAAAATTTAAAAAAAAATATTTTTAATTTATATATATATTATATTAACTTTTTTCCCTAAAAAAATCTATCCAAACTTATATAAAACTTAATACTTTCCTTTTTATCCTTATAGACATTTTCTTGATTCTCCTTATATGAATACCAATTTTTTTTTGCTTGGCTCATGAAAATGGAGATCCTGCACTATATAGGTTTATACACAATATCAAGAAGTAGTTTTATACATGAAAAGAGAAAAAACTCATTTGATATTTTGTTAAACTCTAACAGCAAAAAAGGACTAGTATAAATACATAAAGAAGAGATTTGGAAAGGGCTACATTGAGAGAAGGGCATGAAGTTTTCATAAAAAAAAGAGAGCAAAAATTTGAAGTAGCAACAAAATTTCAAAACATATTTTAGAAGGAGCAAAAGTTTTTAGAAGAAGACAACCTATTTTCAGAAAGAAAGCAAAATTTTTAGGACACAAACATTTTTTAAAGGAGATATGAGAAAAGAATAGAGAAAGAAATCGTCCCGTTCTAGCCATCTATCATCCTCCAGTGTTGCTCACGTTCAAAAAACTTCTTAATTTTCTTAGGTATGGTCATTGTTCATAAACTCATATTCATATAAATGTATCTCGAGCCTTTTCAAAATGAGAGAAATAGAATAGAAATTAAATAATAAAAATAGAGTCACGGACATTTGAGTAATTTTTCATTTTTCATTTTTATATTATTATTACTTTCAAATGAAAAGAATAGAAAAGCAAGATATGACGTTGGTTGATTGACATGCGCTAGAAGCATTTATGAAATGCAATAGATTTTACGCAACATATTTGATAAAGTTGGTTTTTGTGTGGCATTATTTTATTCCTTGAAACATTTGATAGCATTTGATGAGATTCATAGGGAGCAGCAAGTAGGTATTTAGAATTGTAGCTTGCAACAATGATTGAATCATAGTCACTTTCTTTTTTCTTTTCTTCTTTTTCCTTTTTCTTTTTGTTGTTTTTTCTTTTTTAATTTATTATTATTTTTTATCTTGTGGTGCAACCAAATGTAATAGGACTCCGAAAAGAAAAATTTAAGCTAATGTTAGTGTTGATTTAGTTTGGAACTTTTCTTATTTTTACTTTATTTATTATTATTATTTTAAAAATATTAGGTTTAACCAACTAAATCTAAACAATAGGTAAATAAATAAATAATTTATGTCAAAATAAATAAAAATAAAAATTCTCATAATAATTATCATGTTATTGTTTATATTCAGCATATTTATGTATTTGTGAGTTATTTGTTTTTGGTATTATTATTTTTTATTTTATTATATTAATTTTTAGAAAGATTGAGGTAATTTGATTTTATATTCATGTTTTGATCTTTTTATTTTATGACTAATAAATAGTTTTAAACGTATAAATAGTACAACATTTGCATCAATTTATAATACAAACGTATAGTTTTTCTATTGTCATGTATTATAAATTGATAAAATTCACGTATACCAACATTATCTTAGGTTTTATATACTATCAATATATATATAAAAATTAAATTTAACTTTTAAAATTAATTGATTGTTATTATTTTTACTATTATTAAAATTTATTATATAAAATATTTTCATCATATTAATGCGGCGTTTTATAATGTTATTGTGTAGCGTCTTTACCTTTACACACTTTAAATCATTAAGATTTTTGTGTAGTAACGATATCTTAGGTCCTATGCAATATAAATTTATCAAATGAAGTTATATTCTTTTTATTAAGTAATTAATTTCTTCAATCAATTTAAACGTATTTATTCTTTTCATTAAAAGGAATTAATTTCATATTTTAATTTTTTAAAGTCAAATTTAAGATTTTGATAAATTAAATAACCAATCATTTCTTTATTTTTTATACAAATTTTTACAACATCGATGTGTGATTTACATTACTTTCAATTTTTTAAAATTATAAGATATTTATATATTGTTTCTCGTAGGATATATGTATAACCACATTATCTTATATCATGAATATTATAATTTTATAAAAATAATTTTAATTTTAAAATAAACTTTCTTTTACTAAATTTATTTTTAATAAACTAATTTAAAAAATTTTATAACAGAATTACGTTACTTTGAGTTCTTCATTACACCCAGAGATATGTAGGCATGAGAACTAGAATTGTCGAGCAAAATAATTTTTAAAATAATTTTTTTCCTTTTAAGATACCAATTAACATTTCAATGAATAATTTTTCTTCTTCTAAAATAAAATAAAAATATTTATTATTTAGGAGTTAAATAAATATTTTTTAAAATTAAAATAAATTTGCACAATTAATTTAAGGTAATCATTTTTAAACAGATGTTGTAGGATGTTAATACCTTCCTTACACGTAAATGACTCTGACTCTGGAACTCATTTTTTGTTTCAAAGATCATATTATTTTAAAAGTTTTTTCAAGATTTTATTTAAATAAACTTTGGTAACAACTCCTCTGATTTTTTAGAAAATATTTTTTATTCTTAAAAGATATTTTTCTTAAACACATTTTTGTCATATCATTGTGACTATCCGATTACGACACCCTAGTATGTAATTCTTTACCATAGATTATTCAGTGCAAGACTACAAGACGCCAACTCTATTGTTAATGTAAACAAACATAAAAGTCACAATAAAAGTTAGGTATATTTGTCACGAATTAATACACTCCCACTAGTAATAATATAATAAAATCAATAATAACAACAACAATAATAATTAAAAATATATTTAAATATGTTTTTAGTCTTTATAAAATATGCAAATTGTTAAGATTTAGCCACTGATAATTTTTTAAATAATAAATATTTAACTTATCACTATCGTATCATTATTATTTATCATATTTTATTATAAAATTTAATATTTATAAAATATTCTTTAAAAAAATAATATTTTTCTTCTTAGTCTTTTTCTCTTTCCTTTTTTCAACTTGTGAAATTTTTAATTAAAATTCCTAATTTTTGAAAATCTTCTCTTTTATGCCTCCCCTTAGGAGGTGATTCTAAGGACTCTAAAATAGATAACACAATTTTAGTCTTCACTT